CCTTTTTACATTTCTGCCTGCCCTTTTTAAATTTCTGCCTTACCTTTTTACATTTCTGCCTTCCCTTTTTGCACTTCTGCCTTCAAGGACAAAAAAATAAATAAGGTAAATATTACAAAGGCAAATAAATAAAGAAGCTAATTAAAAGAGTTACATACATTTATGTCTCACTGTATAATTTAATTTCTACTTACATTTATTTGGTTATTGTATTTTTGTTGGCAATTAATTGTATGCTTATATATTTATTGAGCTTTTATTTATTTCTGTATTTATTTCTAAATATGGCAGAATTGGTCCTCCATACTAAATATCCTCTTTGATGATATTTGGGGCTATTTAGAAAACAACTAATAGTAAAAAGTACATTTCTGTCTGCTTTTTAAGGCTCTTTTTAAGGTTTCAAAATACAACTGTCTCAAAAGTGCAGCTAAAAGTGACTGCTTGGTAAAAGGGTAGGATGGTACAGAGTTTTGGGCAGGAAGGGGTTGAGTTACACTACCAAACAACTGATCATGCTACTTTTTTGCTGGAAAAAAGAAAAAAAAGAAAATAAACAACTCAAGCATGCATTTGTTGCTGGAAGTCTTTAACATGGTTTTACTCTGTTTTTTTAATCTATTTTAATCTGTTGCTTGATGGCGAATTTTTGCCTGATACCCAAAAGACTTGCCTTCTCAGTAGAAATGTCATAATTATTTGCCTACTTTAAAAATGCAGCTGCCTCACAACATCCAAACAAAAATATGGGATTAACAGTTCGGCGATAATTTTCGGCATATGTTGTCTATCTTCTGTGCAGCTTTGTGGCTTATTACCTTTTCTTTAATTTATTCTTTAAAGATTTCTTGATTTCAAACCTTAGAATAAATATAACAATTTTAAGCTAAGAGATAGAATACAAATAAGAAAAAAATGGTACAAAGGATATACTTAACACACCTAAACCTAAAGGTGTTTTTTTCAGGATGTGGTTCCCTTGAGAAGTTTACGACATGATTTTTTCTGACTAAATCAGACAGGATAAAAAGTATATTCTCCAATAAAGTGAATCAGGATAGTGGTTTTGAAAAGTATGGAGTGATGGCATCTCATGTGGTCTTGTTAAACACAGAGTGACAACATGTCTGTCAGTTGCATAACAGACAATTTCCTCAAATATGAGTCAGGCAGTGAGGAGAGGTCAGTGGATAAGGATTCATTAAGATGAGTTTCAAGCTTTAAAATAAGGAGGTAGGAGGTCAAGGTATTGTCCCAGATGTACAGCGGACTGCTGTTGGCATCCTATATATAATTTATGCCACACCAGGGGTAGATGCTAAACCTTCAGAATAACATACGTGTTTAACAAAGGGGACGCCAACAGTTAACATGGAAAAAAAGCGTTTGTTGCTAAGAGAGAGACTAAGAAACCAGGTCAGGAGCTCCTTAGTGTCAATCAGAATACCACTGAACACTATAATTACATTCAGTGATTACATATAAGAACTCCAGAGTACAAAAATGGCATCATTGCTACAGAGAATTTTGAACACCAAATCCAAATAGCATGAAATCGTATTTCTGATTATTTGCTGTGCCTTAAGGATTCAGTAATAAAAGGTTCATATTGCATGGGGAGAGCTGGGATTTACATATTCAACTGTGATTGATCACTCAGCAAAAACAAATTCAATAAATTAAATTATTGGAGATATGCAGTCTTTTTCGTAAGCTCTTCCCCCATCAAAAATAGATTTAAAGCATTGATTTTTGAAAAAAAAAAAGAAGAAAGGTGCATCTTAACACCCCTAAATGTACATTAGCAACCACATAAAATGAGCCAATTGGACACAACATGCTACTCCTTTAACAGCCACATTTGGTTAGTGAATGTATGACTTTAAATGTTCAGTTCAATTTTAGTTTTTGCTCATTGAATTCCAATACTATGCGTGCATTAGATTCAATACACACATGAAAATGAAATGCATAACAGAAATTACATATTAGAATGCACCTGACTTATTTAGATGACCATTCCAATCAGTATATGCAAGAAATATGCAGAGAAACTCTTCCCTAAATAATTCATTTATGCGTATTTTATTACTCCAGGCTTTCAACTTCATTGTTTAATTGGATTTAGACATATCAGCTGATGTGTGCTTTGTAATGAGGGAAGTTGTGCCCTGAAGGAATCACACCTTCTCTCCTGGTTTAAGTATTTATAAACCAGATTTGCTTCCCCAGGTTAAATGTGACAGGCTGTGGTAAAACTATGAACAAGTCTTTCTGGGGTTGTTTATATTTGTTTACTGATCCTGAAAGAGTGGAGTCTAAGCTTTCCAACTTATAGAAATCGAAAAACTTTTGAATAAGATATTATCATTTGAATGTTAGCACTCTCCACAGTAAAACAGGAAAAACCTCAAAGTTGTCTTAGATTCACTCGGAAAACCAGTTGGGGAGAAACTAAAGCTGTTAATTTATTATCTTCATAGCTGGCTGCAACACCTCCCCCCCAGCAAAGTTTGTTACCAGAAGCTCCAACATCTTTGTGCTGTTTTTATTTGCTTAATCTTTTGTAAAACGTTTTCAAAATGTTTTATTCGATTTAAAAATACAAACATAAGCAGAATAAAAAGTTCTGTAAAGCTGAAAGCAGCTTAAACGATTAACACTTGTATATCCTAAAAATATGACATGAAGCAAACCAAAAAAATAAGCAAACAGAGACAATGTCTTGTTCGATTTGGGTTACGGCAAACAACACACAGTGAGGAGAGTCTGCAGAACATGAAGACATCTGCTGCACAAACGGAGCTGAGTTAATTGACACCCATTTCGTCTGATTTGAAGAAGGTAGGGGGGCTGGTTGACCTTTGATGACCTCTAGAAATATTTCCTTATTTCTTTAAAATGAAAGCGGCACACACGAAAATTTTTGCTGCACAAACGTAGGGCAAACGTTTGACGCTAATTTTGTCTGATTTGAAGAAGGTGGGGGGGCCAACAGGTAGTTTGAAAAAAAAAAGGATTCATAATATGTACCGCATTTGTTTCTTTTATCATACGGATTAAATCATTAAACATTTAAAAAAATGCTCACGTGTAATATCTTAATTTGTAAATATCTCATACACTGCAAAAACGATCTAGAAATAAGTAAAAAAATTTTAAATTAAGTGTATTCACCCTTAATTTGAGTAGGTAAATGAGATAGTTTGCCAATGGAATGAGTAGTTTTAGTCTTAAACTAAGATAATTAGATAATATGCACTTGAAATAAGACAATGGAATTGTGTTTTCCTATTTTAAGTGTAAATTGTCTTGTTCCATTGGCAAAATGTCTCTTTTAACTCCTCAATTCAAGAACAAATGCACTCATTTTAAGAAAAAGTTGACTTATCTAGATTTAGATTTTTTGCAGTGTACAACGTGGGAAACCTGCGGCTTAAAATCCGGTACGGCTTTTAAAAATACAAAATATATTTTCTTTCTAAAATTAGAGTGTGTGGCTTGTAATCAGGTGCGCTCTATAGTCCGGATTTACGGTATATATCTTTTATATTTATACTTTTTTTACCAATAATTCTGCCCACATAGATATTCCCCTAGTAAAAAACCAAAACCTCACTTGTAGACATCAGAGGTTTGATAAAATCTTGGATTGACAGAGACCTCCCTAGTTGTTCAGTAATGAAAGTCCTTACAGCATGTTGCACTTTTAAAATGTCCCTTTTCCATACAATTATTCAAGGTCAGAGATGGCAGGACCTTAATAAAAGGACTGATTTACCTTTATTTTTGCTAAGAGAGCATCTATGGCAGCAGACAGCTGTCCAACTTGTTTGGCCATCTCCTGTTTTCCTTCTTTGAGGCCATTCACCACTTCGTTGAAGCGCTCTATGTGTTTCTTCAGCTTTTGGACTTTCACCAGACCTTCAATCCTGTGTCAGAAAAGCAGAATAACAGCTTCTACATGAAACTCAGACTTTATGAAACTTCACTTATTTCATTATGAATGTTTTTCAAAAAGATAAAACATACCACAGCTATTTCATGATTCAATGAGTTTAATCAGGTTCTGGTTTTTATTACAGCTGAGGGTGTAGGGTGCACATGTGTGAATGGTGGATTCTGCTTTGAGCTTTAGCTGCGTTTATACTCTATTTTCATACTATTTCTTAAAAAGAAGGCAGTAGATCAGTCATGTATTAGTGCAATCGTGACTGCAATGGAAAAATGATGTTGTATACAGTGTTAATGATCTGTATTATTAATAGGGTCCGCCCGGTCACTGTGAAGAAATCTGATAATTATTTCAGTTTTTAAAATTTTAGTCTTCCGCTTCATGTGGCACTGGGTCACGGTGGCAGCAGTGGCTCAATAGAGACCTCCAGACTACCTTCTCCACAAACACCTCCTCCAGCTCTGCTGGGGGAAGCCAGAGGCCAGCTGAGAGACACAGCCCTTCCAGCGTGTCCTGGGTTGTCCCCAAGGACTCCCGGCGGGGCAGGTGTTCAGGGGACATTCGAAAAAGCTCTTCTCTGAGCCTCTCCTGAATGACAGAGCTCTTCACCCTATCTATAAGGCAGCGGACCCCAACCTTTTTTGCACCACGGACCGCTATATATCACACAATATTTTCACGGACCGGCCGAGGGAGGGGACGGATACGATCAAGAAAAATGATAAAATCAAATACAAACAGCATAAAAATAAAACAACAAGCCGGTCCCATCTAGGCGTAATCGGAGACAATGACAGACAAAGTTTGCTCCTGATGTCCAGTCTGCTCCGTAGCTTTGCTTTGGTCGCTGTAACCGCAGAAAATCCCGCTTCACAAAGATAGGATGTTATAGATAGGATGAGTCTTGACCTGAATTAACCTGTGTCAAGAGGGACAGATGCACCGACTGATGGAATTGGGAGAGAATACAGTTATTTTTTATATTTTTCAAATTAAAACATCACTCAGACTCTGATCGTCAATAAATTGTATATAAATATATATATATATATATATATATACTTTTTTCTGTGCGCCCGGTACCAAATGACCCTCGGACCGGTACCGGTCCACGGCCCGGTGGTTGGGTACCGCTGCTCTAAGGCACAGCCAAAAAAGCTACATACATTATTTATAGCCCCTGTAAAGCTAACCAGGTTACTGCTAAGGGACTTGGCGAAAACGTGATTTCTACTAAAAATGTATTTCACAGTATTTTATGCATGTAGCAACACTTGCACTCATGATTGACTGATTTACTGCTAAACTACTACACTTCTTTTTGCCTTCTTAGAAATAGAAATTCTCACTTTTAAGCATAAGCAGAATAAAAAGTTTCGTAAAGCTGGAAGCAGCTTGAAACGATTAACACTTGTATATCCTAAAAGAATTAAAAAAATAAGCAAACAGAGACAATGTCTTGTTCAATTTGGGTTACGACAAACAACATACAGTGAGGAGAGTCTGTACAACATGAAGACGTCTGCTGCTTTCTTCAATTTGATGCTGCATTAAACAATAGGTGTCTTCAAATCAGTGTCAGGCATGGAGAGCCTGAGTGCATGAAATTAACAATAAATGATGATCTAACACTTCTTCTCCATGTGCATGTTGCGTAAACTTATCATGCAATGAAAATAAATGTGCAATGTATTATGCAGCCCCATTTAGAATAGTTGGATTTGGGGAAAGATATCCCACCTTATTAGGGTAAACCAGTTCCAATTAGGAGAAAACAACAACCGTGGCAGAAAGAAGGAAAACTCACCGCGGCTTATGCTTCTTCTTACACAGCCACATGCGGACAGTCTTTTGTATCTTAATGCAAGCCAAAGCTCTGTACTGCATTTTATTCCTCACTGTTGTCGGTAGGAAAGGAAAGAGAACAACATCCATAAATACTTAGATATTAGCAAATAATTTGCCTATTTTAATTCTGAGATGGAAGAAAATTCAACTTTTAATCAGTAGATTTTCAGTCAATCTTCTGAACTTAAATCTGAACATGCTGGTGAAGGTTATCAGTCATCCAGGTCATCTGAACATGCATTTCATTCACACTAAAGCAGCCATAATTCGATGAAATAATAAAACAATACATGGCTGCAACTCGGAGAAAACCAAAGTGTTTGTTCATGCAAAGCTGTAAGAAATGAAACACTGAAGTCGGCTGGCTTGTGGTGAAACACTAAAAATTAATCACTTGGTGTTGAGTGCGGCAAGGCTGTACTTCAGTGATGTTCCTTAAGGCTGAAGGCTGTTTGGTTTAATATTCAAAAAGAAATGAAAAGTGATACAGCCCAAGGCCTCCTTTGCATTTGATGCTACAATAAAAGACATAGAAGAAGAACTAGAATATAAGAAGTAAAGCTTTAGCTTCATGCACTAAGACTTTTGCAGACATTAACTTAGTTTTTGATAATTTTGAGAAGTTAAAGTACCGTACACTTATTAGCATTAGATCTTATTTTTTCACTGGAAAAACAATCTAGAAATAAGTAAAAATTTCTTAAATTAAGTGTATTTACCCTTTATTTGAGTAGGTAAATGAGAGAGTTTGCCAATGGAATCAGTGTTTTTACTTTTAAAATAAGATAATTAGATAGTATTCACTTGAAATAAGACAATGCAATTATGTTTTCTTATTTTAAATCTAAATTGTCTTCTTCCATTGGCAAGATGTCTCTTTTATCTCCTCAATTCAAGAACAAATGCACTTATTTTAAGAAAAAATGACTTATCAAGATTTAGATTTTTTTTGCAGTGTTTTTATTTAGTAAACTTCTGATTTTGAAATACCTCCTCTTATAAATAGATTGCATTGATTTAAATTGTTTGACTTTGTTTGACAATCCTTCCACATGCTTCTCTTTGGGGCCCATTTTTCCAGACAGAACTTGGGGAACTGGTCCAGGTTTGTAACCCGTCTTACTCACACAGCAAGACGGTTTTATCACGGTTTTAGCTTTAAGGACGATGCTTTGTGGCAGCCACAACAAAATATGGACTTCATTGTCCATAAGATGCTTTGTAACTAACATACTGACATGCTGAAGGTCAATGTTTGCTCTGGGGTTGATCCACATATTTCTCACATAGACCCTTTTATCTCTTGGACACTGAACCTGTTTCCCTCTGGGACATCAGACAGTCATTCCCATGGTGTTTATTCTATTGTTAGGTTTATGCTTTATACATCATGTGCGTTGTTACTTTGCTAGCCAGATTAGAGAGAGTAGAAGGCCTTCCTTCACATTGTGGATGTCACTGTGTGTACGGAGGTCATCTAATCAGGACAGCGTGTCTTTAAGAATACACAGGATATTGGAATATCTTGGAGCCGGTCTGATAGAAGAGAGCTATCTGTAATCCTTGGGCATGGATGACGTGTCAGCAGAGATGGCAAAAGTACTCACTTTCCGTACTTGTGTAAAAGTACAGATACTTGTGTTAAAAAATACTCTGGTAAAAGTGGAAGTACTGATTAAAC